TTCACAACAGGAAGTGATTAGTAGGACTCTACTTGTCAGCACTCCAAGAAAAAGAGGTTATTTTCTAGTTGGAGTATGTATGATGGGCTGAGAAGTACTGCAGGATAGCACATGGGTGTATGTCTCTCTTCTACCTATGATTCTTTAAATTCCAGCTGTAATTCTCTTCTGTATAGGTCCTGATCAGGTACCTCTCAGGGAAGAATTTGAGCAAATTATGCTGAAAGCTATGCAAGAATTTACTCTGAGAGAAAGAGCCCTGCAGATAGGTGCTCAGTGTGTCCCTGTGTCACCAGGACAACTCCCCTGGCTTGCTAGATTAATTGCCAGCGTATCTCAAGACTCGGTTCATGTGATTGTGACCCAGAACTCTTTGGCGGAGGGCATTTCAGAGACCTTAAGGACTCTCAGTGAAATGAGACACTATCAAAGGCTACCAGATTATGTGGTGGCAATTTGTGCATCGAAAATCAGAGGAAATGAATTTTGTGTGGTAGTGTTAGGTGAGTAACTTTTTTGTTTTTTATTTGTTTTTAAGACAGGCTGTCACTCTGTCACTCAGGCTGGAGTGCAGTGGCGCGATCTCAGCTCACTGCAACCTCTGCCTCCTGGGTTCAAGCGATTCTCCTGCCTCAGCCTCCCATGTAGTTGCATGCCACCGTGCCTGGCTAATTTTTGTGCTTTTAGTAGAAGCTGGGTTTCGCCTCTACTAAAGGCAAAAATGTTGGCCAGGCTGGTCTTGAACTCCTGAACTCAGGTGATCCTCATGCCTCGGCCTCCCAAAGTGCTGGGATTACAGGCGTGAGCCACTGTGCCCAGCCGTATTGTCATTTGTTGTTTTCTGATTTCTTATCTGAAAATAAACTTGATCAGGGACTTTATCAGAAATATTTTATCATTGCAGTTTTACAGAGGATACAGACATGTTTTGCAAACTCATCAATCTTCCGGCAAAATATTAACATGTCCCTTCCATGAGAAACAGAGATAATATGAGTACAGTTGTCCCTTAGTATCCCTGGGGGATTGATTCCAGGCCCCCTCCCATATAAAATTGAATATCCTCAAGTCCCTCATATAAAATGGCACAGTAATTGCATATAACCTATGCACATCCTCCCATATACATTAAACCACCTCTCCATTGCTTGTAATACTTATTACAGTGCCTACACATCACGTCATTCACGTGAATTCAGCGTACTACTCAGCCCACACACAGCAAGTTCAAGTTTCACTTCTTGGAACTTTGTGGAATTTTTTCCCCCTGACTATTTCAGTCCACGGTTGATTGAATGTGGAACCCACAGATACAGAGGGCCAACTGTATTTTGTTTCCTGTTCATTTAATTTAATATAAGGATAGAATGTGGAGCATCCAAGTGAATTCCTTAGGATTGATATATTTGAGTGATTTGTTTGATAGCTATCTCAGAGGGCAGGGAATTTTGTTAAGCATCTTTGATCCTAGTTGAGCAAGCGTACCTGGTTGGACCATAAAAAGAAATGTTGAACTGCACTGACCTGCTTCTATTGGGACAGGCTATGGCACTTTACCCTATTTCTATGGAAATGTTGGTGACATTGTTGTGAGTCCTCTGCTGGTGAATTGCTACAAGATTCCACAGTTGGAAAACAAAGATTTGGAACAATTAGGGTTGACTGGCAGTCAATTTCTGAGCGTGGAAAACATGATTCTTCTGACGATACAGTATCTTGTGCGGCTGGGTAAGTCATTTTCCATAATCATTTGCTAGTGACTACTTTTGAGGTTTTTTTGTGATGTACTTTTTCTTTCTTTCTCACGTTTATCCTCCTATCTCTTATTTTTCTTCTTTCACTTCTAATGTTCTTTCCCTTCATCTGCATTCTCTGTAACTTTTCCCTTTCCTCTCCTTCATTTCTTTTCTACTCCTTTCCTTTCCTCTTTGCTTCTTTGGGTCCTAGAGGAGATGAATTGCACCACCTAGTGTCCAGTCTCATGATGCTCCAAAGGTCTCCAAAGTAGTTAAGGTAGGCAAAACCTTAAAGGGTTGTACCTTGAGCACCCCTTCCCTGGGGAGCTTGGCTAGGCCTCCTTTCTGAAAGTGCACCTACCATCTGGAATGCAAACACAGCCATTGCCTTAAACAATTATTTTCCAGTTCTCCATTTAGCCTTTTTATCTTGTTTATCCACTGGCCCTACACCCATTTTCTTTCTTCTCCAGCTACACCCCTTTGATGGAGTCCCATCATGCTTTCCATCATTGAGGTCATAACTGTGGACCTCCCTGGAAGGTCTCTAAGTTATAGCGTAAGGGGGATATGTAGGTCATGAACCCTTCACTTCCTCTATCTGATATATCCTCCTAAGCCCCAAAGTGGATGTATGCAGGTGCCCTGACAATACTAGAGTGGCTCAGCAGCATTTACATCGAAATGTCCTTTATTTTGCAAATGGCAGTAGGCCATCTAATTATACACTCACTCTAGGACTTCAAGCCACTGATTTACTTAGAAAAATATTTGAGATGTGGCCAGGTGCAGTGGCTCATGCCCATAATCCCAGCACTTTGGGAGGCCGAGGTGGGCGGATCACCTGAGGTGGGGAGTTCGAGACCAGCCTGACCAACATGGAGAAACCCCACCTCTACTGAAAATACAAAATTAGCAGGGTGTGGTGGTGCATGTCTGTAATCCCAGCTACTCGGGAGGCTGAGGCAGGAGAATTGTTTGAACCCGGGAGGCGGAGGGTGCAGTGAGCTGAGATCACGCCATTGCACTCCAGCCTGGGCAACAAGAGTGAAACTCCGTCTCAAAAAAAAAAGAAAAAAAAATTTGAGATATAAAATTAAACGTAAAAATATTTGTATGCACTCGTGAAATTTTTTAATTCTAGAAAATAAAAATACTTCAGTGTTAGGAGATAATAAAAACACTGGACTAAATAACTTTAAAAGAAAAAAAAAAGCTTTATTAGGGCATATGCAGTCTTTGGTGCATTAGCTAGCAATCTTGACTAGAACTCTTTGTGCCCTGAGAGGCCGACTTGACGTGGGCTCTGCTTTGACATGGCCTTTTGAAATTTACACGGCACCAATTTCCCATGAGAGCTACTTTCATGATAAACCTAGGACTTGCTAATGATGCTTATTGAAAGGTAATACAATTATAAAACTCACCTGGGTCCACAGCTCATTTGATGACATAATTTTAATTGCTACATACTGAAATTAGATTGTAGACTGTGTTCTAAGATCCAAAGCCAACTTCTAAATGCACTCAGAATTAGTAAAACCAGGCTTCATAGAGTGATATTATAGCCAACCAAGCAAATCACTCTAGCACTCTTTTTCAGTTTTGTTTGTTTGTTTTGAGACCGAGTCTCACTCTGTTTCCCAGACTGGAGTGCAGTGGTGCGATCTTGACTCACTGCAACCACCACCTCCCATGTTCAAGCAATTCTCATGCCTCAGCCTCCCAAGTAGCTGGGACTACAGGCATGAGCCACCATGCCCTGCTAATTTTTGTATTTTTAGTAGAGACAGGGTTTCACCATGTTGACCAGGCTGGTCTCAAACTCCTGACCTCAGGTGATCCACTTGCCTTGGCCTCCCAAAGTGCTGGGATTATAGGCGTGAGTCACCACGCCTGACCTCTTTTTCAATCTTAATAGCAATTTTTAAAATCAGAGTCTAATTTAATTAAATGAACCAAGTGGTCAAAATAAGATATCTTTCCTTAAAGTACTAAACGCTGTTATCTTTCATAAAAAAAAGAAAGAAAGAAAGAAAGAAAGAAAGAAAGAAAGAAAGAAAGAAAGAAAGAAAGAAAGAAAGAAAGAAAGAAACAATTTCAATTTAATTACACAGATTCTTCTCTGCCCTGCAGGATCAATTCCCTCCAGAATTTGACTTCCAGTCAATTAGCCTCTCAATATACATGAATAGCTATTTCTCTTTAAAAATCTAAAGCTTTGTACATTGAGACTTCTCTATACCTCAACAACTGTTCTGGTGTCCTTCATTTATTTATTATTTATTTTTTATTTTTTGCCTCTGGAGGTTTCAAGAAAGCAATCAAGAATAGTTTCACATATGCCATAGATTATAGACATTAACAAAATAAATCTAAACTTCTAAAAGAATAATTTTAATACTTCAGCAGCCCAGTTACTTAGAGGTAACAGAAGAAAAGCAAAATTCTTCAGGAGGAACGTACCTCTTCACTACAGTCACTTTTTAAAAATCTTAGTCATTTCACAATCTGAAAATCTTTGAAGTTGATAATGAAATCAGCAAATCCAAAGATTCTTGGAAGCCTCTGAGTCTATTTAAACCTTGACTTTTCTCATTAAGTTAGTTCTGTCTGAAAAGTCGTTAAAACTGATACCTCGACTAACCTAAGTTATTGGAGATCAGCACTTGAAAGAAAAGATTACTGTTATCAAGCTTGCAAAAGTGGAGAAAAGACACCTGCAATGCAATTGTAAAGGCTGAGGCTGAGGCACTGGGTGTGGTGGCTCACATTTGTAATCCCATCACCTTGGGAGACTGGCGCAGAAGGATCGCTTGAGCCCAGGAGTTTAAAGCTGCAGTGAGCTGTGATTGTGCCACTGCACTGCAGCCTGGCAGACAGACTGAGACCTTGTCTCTAATTAAAAAAATAAAAATAATTTTTTAAAAGGCTGAGGATGAAAAAGTGATAGTTGATTTTTGGAAGCAAGACATTTTACTCTAAGAAGTCTCTTACCTCATTTAAACTTTAATACCTTTTCCCCCACTTCTTGATTCCTAATGGTACATCAGTCAAAACTCTATAAAAGCGAGCTTTAAGGCAACAAGGGATGTTGTGAATATGTTTAGTAATGTTATTTTCCCAGAATGTCTTTGTACTTTGAATTAATTATGCTTCCTGATAGAATATGTTACTCAGTCCTGGAGTCAGTCTTATGGACTATTAACCAAGTCCCTGAGCTTTCAGGTTGTTAATGAAAGACAGTAGGGAATTGGAGACAGCCAGGGCCACCTGCTTTTCAGCTGTCGTGTTCTGGTGGAAGAAAGCTTTAAATAGATGACCACCTTCTATCCACTTTGAGCTCACCGAAAAGTGTGTACCTAGTGACAATTACCATGATGCCAATTTGATAAAGCTGAATGAAGATCAGACGTCTTGGTGGCTCCCGGTGATTTTTTTTTAAAAGCATCCCTCCACATTCCCAGCCAGTTTTCTGAGAAGGACAGTAGAGGCCAGACATGATGGCTCACGCCTGTAATCCCAACACTTTGGGAGGCTGAGTAGGGTAGATACCTGAGGTCAGGAGTTTGAGAGCAGCCTGACCAACATGGAGAAATCCCATCTCTATCAAAAATACAAAAATTAGCCGGGCATGTTGGCGCATGCCTGTAATCCCAGATATTCCGGAGGCTGAGACAGGAGAATTGCTTGAGCCCAGGAGGTGGAAGTTGCAGTAAGCCAAGATCTCGCCACTGTACTCCAGCCTGGGTGACAAAGGGAAGCTGTCTTTAAAAAAAAAAAAAAAAGCACAGAAGAAACACAGATATAATGTATACATTACCATTTTCTTGCCCTGTTTCCATGTATAGAGGAGAAAAATCTATTTATGAGAATTCCACTCTCCTACCTCTCCCTGGCCTCCACCCAATCCTGGAAAAGCTGTTTTCTCAATTAAAATTGTTTGTTTTTATAATGTATAAGATTTTTATTTAATTTTCTGTGTCTGAAAAGCATTACTAAACACCTACTTTTCTTACTTTCCCAGAAAAGATGGGAAGGGCCAGAGAAACCACTTAGATCCCTATTAGAGGAAGGAATGGATCTGACTCACTTGTGGTGCCTCCTTCTCATGCAGAAGTCCGTCCAGTCCATCACCCCCTTGTTCTTCCATAAGGGGCTTTTAGCAGTGGGTTCTGGGGCTGTTGCTTGGTCTCAGATCACAGACACTGAGGTGTCTGAGCTGGTTTATGAGAGCCTGAGTTTCAAATCTTGGGTTCACACAGCAAAATAAATGATTGAATAGAGGGAGTGACTATATTCTCACTGCTTTCAATTTAAACTAAATGTTGAAATCTTAGTTCATTTGTGTCAGTTGGATACCAAACATTGACTTGCTTATTTTGTTCTAAAGACGTTGAGTTTCTAAAGAGAGTAAGAAACAAAATCCCCCTGATTCCAGGGGCCACAGGTCAGCAGTATAAGTTTAGCCCCAACTGGTTGGAGAAAAGGGCCAAATGGCATATTTAACAGTCCAGAATGCTGGGGAATAACTAGATCATGAAAGCGTTCTCTATCTGGGAAAAGTGTGAGGCTGCCTTCAGTATAACTTGGGAGTGAAAAATAATTAAACTTCATTTCCTGATGCACAGTATTCTCAAATTTAGGCTTAGAGGCAATACATTAAAATGTTTTCCAAAATGCCTATGAATAAAATGAGAACTGAATGAAACTTAAAATTGGTTATGGCCGGGCGCGGTGGCTCAAGCCTGTAATCCCAGCACTTTGGGAGGCCGAGACGGGCGGATCACGAGGTCAGGAGATCGAGACCATCCTAAAAAGTACAAAAAACTGGCCGAGCGAGGTGGCGGGCGCCTGTAGTCCCAGCCTCCGGGAGGCTGAGGCCGGAGAATGGCGTGAACCCAGGAGGCGGAGCTTGCAGTGAGCTGAGATCCGGCCACGGCACTCCAACCTGGGCGGCAGAGCGAGACTCCGCCTCAAAAAAAAAAAAAAAAATTGGTTATATATACCAATAGGTTGACTCTTTTCTTTTCTTTTCTTTTCTTTCTTTCTTTTTTTTTTTTTTTTTTTTTGAGACAGAGTCTCGCTCTGTCGCCCAGGCTGGAGTGCAGTGGCGCGAACTCGGCTCACTGCAATCTCCACCTCCAGGGTTCACGCCGTTCTCCTGCCTCAGCCTCCTGAGTAGCTGGGACTACAGGCACCTGCCTCTGCGCCCAGCTAATTTTTTGTATTAGTAGAGACGGGGTTTCACTGTATTAGCCAGGATGGTCTCGATCTCCTGACCTCATGATCCGCCCGCCTCGGCCTCCCAAGGAGCTGGGATTACAGGTGTGAGCCACTGTGCCCAGCCAGGCTTCTTTTTTCATTAGTCATTAACAATTTCCATAATGCTAAGCTTAATAGGTCAAGAAATATGCCACGTGCAAGGACCAGCTCCGAGGGCATACTGTGGAATTAATGGTTTCGCTTAGTACATCCTCTTTTAAAAAGATCAGGAATACAGAAAAACAGAAGCCTGGTTTTTCACAAAAATTGAGGCAGAAAGAAAAATAATTTCACAACAGGAAGTGATTAGTAGGACTCTACTTGTCAGCACTCCAAGAAAAAGAGGTTATTTTCTAGTTGGAGTATGTATGATGGGCTGAGAAGTACTGCAGGATAGCACATGGGTGTATGTCTCTCTTCTACCTATGATTCTTTAAATTCCAGCTGTAATTCTCTTCTATATAGGTCCTGATCAGGTACCTCTCAGGGAAGAATTTGAGCAAATTATGCTGAAAGCTATGCAAGAATTTACTCTGAGAGAAAGAGCCCTGCAGATAGGTGCTCAGTGTGTCCCTGTGTCACCAGGACAACTCCCCTGGCTTGCTAGATTAATTGCCAGCGTATCTCAAGACTCGGTTCATGTGATTGTGACCCAGAACTCTTTGGCGGAGGGCATTTCAGAGACCTTAAGGACTCTCAGTGAAATGAGACACTATCAAAGGCTACCAGATTATGTGGTGGCAATTTGTGCATCGAAAATCAGAGGAAATGAATTTTGTGTGGTAGTGTTAGGTGAGTAACTTTTTTGTTTTTTATTTGTTTAATCAATTCATTCGACCATTTGTCCATTTAAAAATGTGTGTTGTGTGTTTCGGGCATCCACATAGTCAACCTCTGATTAATTGCTGGAGCTTGGGCTCATCCTCCTAATTTTAACTTTCCCTTTCCTTCTCAGATCAGGTTTTGTGTGGCCCTCAGTTTGGCTGGTGCCCCTGTCAGCTGGTTGTGGGAGCATTATTTCAAAGCTCTCCCTAGTAACAGATACCCCTGTCTCATGTAACTGCTGTCCTTTAAAGATTTTGGAAATGTTACTACTCTAGCATGTGATAAAGCCAGTGCCACAGGTGGCCTAAGCCAATTAATCGAATTTGCCAGAAAAGTAGCTCATATATCCCCCTTCTCACTGAAGAGTCTATTTAATATTGTAACATCGACTCTAAAGATTCAGAAAGTTGGTACACTACAAAACTGGGGGGTGGAAGGGGATTTCTGTTTGTTTGTTTTGCACTGTGCAAATTTTCTGTCAGGCACCCTCCTGGGTAGCCATTTGGACTACATTTTGCTTCTCTCCTCTCTGTAGTGAATGGCTCTCACCGCTTTTGAGCAAAGAAGCTAAGAAAGTCCCCTCACTTTGACAAAACCTGTCTGCCCATTTTTCTGTGCTACATGTATTTCCAGAAAGCTTCATCAGTGTGATACATTAATATTTTTTCATTTTTGTTAAAAGCATGTTTATATTTTTAAGGCAAATATTCACTATAACCATGCAAGCACAATTTTTATAAGGTTTTTCATACTCTTCCCTAGTCTGTTTTTCCCACATGTTCTCAGCCCCTGAACATCTGCCCAATTGGCCAGCCCTGGGGCAGCTGTGGTGTTACCCACAGCCCCTGGCTGGGGACAGGGACCTTCCTTAATCATTAAACACAAACATGTGCATATTTTCAGTTACAAAGATAAGGTACATCATTTTTTTTTCCTTGATCATCTGTATTATAAACATTTCTGTTTCTGTCTAGAGTCAGAATTGATATTTCAAGTGCTGTATAATTGTCCACACCTTTTGGTGTGTCATAATTTTCTCAACCTAAGTCCCTATGGTGACATCCTTTGATTGTTTCCAGTTGTTGCCATTATAAGTAATGTTCCAGCAACATTTGTTCTGTTGATGAGTTTTCTCTTCTCCCCTCCATCCTGCAGGTCAGCACCAGTCCCGAGCTCTGGCAGAGAGCATGCTCACCACAAGTGAGTTTTTGAAAGAAATTAGTTATGAGCTTATCACAGGAAAGGTCAGTTTCCTGGCATCACATTTCAAAACCACATCATTAGGTGAGTGGTTGTAAGATCTGGCAACACTGCCAGCCCCTAGTTGTGTGATTTTCTGAATTTAAATCTTAGCTTGTCAAGATGAGTGTGGAGCTCAAGCTGGCCAGCTGATCTTTCATTTGAAATGGTTTATCTTAAGTATTTTGTCACTGACACCACAGGAAGCAGTAAGGGGGTCTAGAGGAAGGCACATTGGTAGCAGATTCAAAAGTCTCAGCTCAGCCACAACCTCATTGAGTGACCTTGGGAGAGTTTCTCTCTCCCTGGAACTCGGTTTATTCATTTGTTCCTTCCTTCCCTTTCTTCCCTTTCTTTCCTTCCCTCCTCCCTCCCTCCCTCCTTTCCTTCCTTTCTTCCTTTTTTTTTTTTTTTTTTTGACAGTGTCTCACTCTATCGCCCAGGCTGGAGTGCATGATCATAGCTCACTGCTTGACACCACCCCGCTTCACAGGCTCAAGCGATTCTCCCACCTCAGCCTCCCAAGCAGCTGGAACTACAGGCATGTACCACCATGCCTGGCTAATTTTTTAATTTTTTGTAGAGACTGGGTCTCCCTTTGTTGCCCAGACTGGACTCCAGCCCCTGGCCTCAAGTGATCCTCCTGTGCCTTCTAAAGTGCTGGGATTACAGACATGAGCCACTGCGCCCAGCCTGGAACTCAGTTTTCTAATCCCATTCTGCCTGCTTTTGAGTATTAGGGAGGTCGAGATACAACATGTGAAAGCATGTAAATTATAAGCACTATATCAATGAGAGTAGTTCTTGCTATAGAGACACCAGTATACTATAAAGATGGCCAAGTGTAAATGCTGATATGCATTTCTGGCTGACCAACAAATCTACTGAGAACAGCCTGACTGCCCAACTCAGGCAGTTAATAAACATATCCTTCCTCGTAACCTTCTTATCTCTACTTTATTTTGTAACAGGCGATGACCTAGACAAGCTGCTGGAAAAAATGCAACAAAGAAGAGGAGACAGTGTGGTTACCCCTTTCAATGGAGACCTGAATGAATGTGTGTCACCCCAGGAGGCTGCTGCTATGATTCCCACACAAAACCTGGGTAATGTCATCTCAGACTGAAAGACGGAAGTCAGTCCTTAGGACAGACGTTGTAAAAACTAAGTCATTCTAAGGGTTTTGAGGATTCTTCAAGTCATAGACCACAACAGCCTTTTCCTGATTGTCTACATGATAAACCTGGTTCAAATTAAAAATGCTTTCCCATGTGGCCTGGATCAAAGGCCTTGTTCCTAGTAAAAGTCTTCTGGAATGAAAATCCAAGTCAAAGACTTTATCTTAAGCACTCTCTCTTTTTTTTCTGAAAGATTCCAGGACCTTGGCCCATTTTCCTCCACCAGCTGTGCCCAGAGGACTTCAAGAAACTGTCTGAAAGAGTCAGACTACAGGCAGTGCAGGGCCCCTAGCTCCTGCTCCTTCACTTACTCTCTGACTTGTAAAACACACATTGTCTCAGGGATAGTGAGGCTTTCTTGGCAGATAGAACAGCGCTACCAACATGTCATCTGCCCTACAACAAGCTTCAGGGGCTCAGAGCAGGAGTGTCAGGGATGAGGAGTCTGATCGTTAGACTGGATTCGTTTGGGTTCAGAGTCCTTCCCCAGTTCACTGATTGACAGGGATGACATAGGACAGAACAGAAAAAAGAACAGGAGAAAGGATAGATAGGAGACAGACCCTTATAAGCTGCTGCTGACAGCCACTTGGCCCCCACTTGATAGGAATGTATCATTTATATATTAGGATTGTCTCAGGCAATAAAAGTAGCATGGTTTGGCAGTCAGCTCTGTTGTAAAAACAAATGCAAATATAGGCAATAAAATGTTTTGACTTCTCAATGGTATTTGGTAATAAAGTGATCATCCAGATGGTCTAAAATGTGTTTATGTTAACTGTTTTGAATTATTAACACATTTAGAATTTAAACATTCTCAGAGGACTTACAGATTCCCAAGTACATTCTTGGTTCCCTGTTTAAAAAATCTTGTTTAAAGATGTTTTCGAAATGACAGCCTAGCTGTATTAAAAGACATATTTTGATTAGTAGTCTGTGGTACAAAGACTATTTGGGCTTCTATTTAAAGTTGCATGTTTGGGCTTTTCCATTGGGTTCTCTCAACCACTAGGGAGACCGTCCGTATAAATCTCCACTTGCTGTCAGTGTCCATGGTAACTGGGCTATGTTGACAGGCTGTCTTTGCCTCGGCTGCATTTGATTTTAGAAAACATTAATTAGCACAGGTTAATTAGGCCCTGTTGCAGTTAAACTGCCACATGTGTTCCTGATAATAACCAGCGCTTTAAAGAAGCATTGGATGTTGCCTGCTCGCGCGTTTAGCTGACTAAACTTGTTTCATTGTGTGTGTGGATGTGCATGCATGTATAAGAAAGATTGATTGCTTGATTATACTTGCAATAAAAAGCTACTGACCTGCTTAGAGTATCTGGGAAATGTTTTCGTAATACGTCACCTGCTGAGTGGCCAGCTGGCTATGTCATGAGTCAGGTGTCTTCAGATAGTCCAGGCATCAGCAATGGAGCTGGCCACAACCACCTAGACCTGCCAGGTCACAGCACTGGCAAAGTGGAGTTGAGTGGGAAGAAAGGTGAAGGTCATGTCTCCATGACCCACGTTATGTAGTCCCTGGGAAGGGAATTTCTGACCATGTTGCAACTGACTTGCTGAAGAGGAAATGTTTACTGTAATGCCATCCAGAAAAGCTCAGGGGGACTCAGCATTATGTTCATTATGGCACCTCCTCTTTCCTTGGACTGGGTCGGGTCTGGGACACTGGCCTGTGCTGATATTTCTAAAGAAAACCGAAAATGTTCCCCTTTTCAGAGATGAGTGCTGGTTCCAGCTGCGAGAGTGTAGTCTGTCTCCTCCACTTCTGGGTTGGGATAAGGGTATTGAATTAGGCATTTGTGAGATAATCAATCAATTTTAAAATAATACATTTGCAAAACTGCCACATCCACTCCTGAGCACATCCTCTCATCCGCGTTTCAGGAAAAATAGGCAAATCTATTAAAACTCAATAGAGAGTGCAAATAGCAGGTGAGAATTCTTAGTGAGAGTGTATTACATTACTGTCTGTGTGGTATGTGTCCTCATAGAGATTCACAGTGGCCATTATGGAAGCAAATTAACCTTGTTCTTATGACTTCTTTTTAAATTTTAGATTTAGATAACGAAACCTTCCAAATTTATCAACCGCAGCTAACAGTTGCCAGAAAACTCTTATCCCAGGTGTGCGCTATAGCGGACAGTGGCAGCCAGAGCCTGGACCTCGGTCACTTCAGCAAAGTCGACTTCATCATCATTGTCCCCAGATCGGAGGTGTTGGTTCAGCAAACTCTTCAACGGATTCGACAATCAGGTAAGAGTGAACTTTCAAAGAGGAGCCCACCTAGATCCAGCTTCAGATCCCGTTGCCTCTTTTGCTTAATCCAAACTTTTATAGGATGCTTAAAACCTTCTTCAGTAATAAAAATCATAAAAGCACTTTGTTATTTTGGGTTTATCTGAAGTTTTCCCTCAAAGTACTCTGTCCTTTTTCCCTCAAGGTCAAGGGTAAATGGCTGTGCATGTTTGCCAGATATCGTTAAGTTCATGATGTAATCTGTGGGACTAGAATCTGGTCATTTATTGATGAAGAGAAATTTTCTCAAGGCAAGGATGGCCCTGCCTGAGTTGATGGCGTCTGTGCCACCTGAGCTCCTCCCACATGCGGGCCTCATTTGCATAGGTGGATTCTTGGCCATTTAGCACGTCACCAGCACATCTGCAACCTGGAAACCGGAACACCATCCCCCATGTCATCTATGACATTCTTTAAGAAAAAAAGGTTAGCGTTACTCCTAATAACTTTAAGTATAAAGAAAAAAATATTTTTCCCAGAAAAGGTAGAGAGCAAAAATTTTACAAGTCTTAAAAAAAAAATGTTACAACTCTGTGGTAAATAATAACCCTTTTCAAAAATAAAATTTGATTAGAATTACAAGAAGTTATAAGGAATTTAGAAACTTGAGACAGCTGTAAAATGCTTGCCTTTGTAAACTAGGTTTGAAAAGGAAATTATAAATGTCAAGTTGCTTCTGATTACCTTAGCTGAGGAACACACATACACACCCCTCACAAGCAGATTTTAGATCTGGAAGATGACTGTTTTTGCCAGAGTAAAGAATTTTACTTTCGGCCGGGGGCAGTGGCTCACGCCTGTTATCCCAGCACTTTGGGAGGCTGAGTTGGGTGGATCATTTGAGGTCAGGAGTTCAAGACCAGCCTGGCCAACATGGTGAAACCCCATCTCTACTAAAACTACAAAAATTAGCCAGGTGGTAGTGGCACATGCCTGTTATCCCAGCTACTTGGGAGGCTGAGACAGGAGACTCACTTGAACCCAGGAGGCGGAGGTTGTGGTGAACCGAGACACTGCAATCCAGTCTGAGTGACAGAGTGAGACCCTGTCCCCCCTGCCAAAAAAAAAATGATTTTACTTTCAATATATTTAAAAACAGATAGGAAGCAGAAAAATCCAGAAGCGCTTAGAATGTGGTTTATATGTTCATACCTGTCATTCTGTGCCTCTCAAATTTTATCCTACATACAGATCATGCGGGGATGTTGCTAAAATGCAGATTCCACTTCAGTGGGTCTGCGTTGTGCTCCGGATTCTGCATTTGGTTTTTTTTCCTTTTTTTTTTTTTTTTTCTTTTGAGACATAGTCTCACTCTGTTGCCCAGGCAGGAGTGCAGTGGTACGATCCTGGCTCACTGCAACCTCCACCCTCTGGGTTCAGGCAATTCTCCTGCCCCAGCCTCTTCTAAGTAGCTGGGATTACAGGTGTGCGCCACCGCTCCCAGTTTTTGTATTTTTAGTAGAGACAGGGTTTCACTATATTGGCCAGGCTGGTCTCGAACTCTTGACCTCAAGTGACACACCAGCCTCAGCCTCCCAAAGTGCTGGGATTCCAGGTGGGAGCCACCACACCCAGCCTGGATTCTGCATTTCGAACAAGCTTCTAGGGATGCCAGTGTCAGAAGGCCACACTTTGAGTAGCATGGCTCGATAAGAAATCTTGCTTGATTGTACTTTTAAAAATAACTAAAAGAGTATTGTAATTGGATTGTTTGTAACACAAAGGATAAATGCTTCAGGGGATGGATACCCCATTTACCCTGATGTGATTATTACACATTCCATGCGTGTATCAAATTTTCTCATATACTCCATGAATATATACTTCTATTGTGTACCCACAAAATTTAAAATTAAAAGTTTTGAAAGAAGGCCTCATGTTCCAGAGGTCAAATGAGCTGACTGACAGTACATTTTTCCCTGTTTCTATCTCTTTAACCCCTCTTGGTGGCTGTGACTGACATGTGAAGTTTTGTCCATGTCCTCTGGAGGCCCAAGTGCCTGGTTGACAGTGCAGTCTTCTTTCTGGACTCTCAGTTTTGGAATGACAAGTTACAAAATGACTTACTGGAAATATCGACCTGTAGGTGATGAGCTGGAAAAGGTCAAATGCCTTCTCTCACAGCTCTCCCAAAAACCACAGTGAGTTTTATCTCTCAGCTACTGGCTTGTTTCTGCATTTATTTTTCGGTCACACCAAGCAGTAGCCAGATTTTTTGTTATTTTTTTTCTTTCATAACATGGAGGAAGGGCCTTGTCTTTTAGGTAGTTTACTTTTACCAGTTGCCATCTGTGGCCTCCCTGAGTTTGTGATCTGATATCCCAAATTGTGCTTGAGCAAACACATCATGGCAGCTGTTTGAAGTGACGAAATCATCTAGCAGAGCCTTTTCCTGAAATAACCTTTCAGTGACCTGCACTTTCACCTTTCCTAATAAATGCAAGCTCCTAAATAAAGCCTTGCATTTTTGACAGATGAAGAAATTGTACAGGTTCTTTGCTTTCTCTTCTCAATGCCCTCAGATTTTTCTAAAGTGAGTATTTTAAGATTGTCACCTCTCAAAAAGGTACCAGAATTTGACCAATTATTTGACCAAAGAATTTGACCAAAGAAGTATTTGTTTTGATATTTAAATACCTTCATATTCTTGGAACACATACAAATTGATAGAAAAGAAAGGACTAGAAGCATGTTAAAATGTATGGAGGAGAAATTGTTCCGGGTAGAATAAGTAGCAGGAGATTATCCATAAAATAACTCTTTAAAATCATAGGTATTAAAACAGAAAGTTTTTGAGAAATCATCTGACTTAGTTTCCTCATATGTCATCATGTGAATTGAGAAGAGCCTAGTTTGCCTGAGGCCACAGAAGGTAGTACCTTAAGAGCAAGGACAGTTTGTTTTTGGTTTTTGTTTTTAGTTTTTTGTTTTGTTTTTTCTTTATTTGAGACCAAGTTTCACTCTTGTTGCCCAGGCTGGAGTGCAATGGCGCCATCTTGGCTCACCGCAACCTCCACCCGCCGGGTTCAAGCGATTCTCCTGCCTCAACCTCCCGAGTAACCTGGATTACAGGCATGCGCCACCATGCCCGGCTAATTTTTTTGTATTTTTAGTAGAGATGGGGTTTCTCCATGTTGGTCAGGCTGGTCTCTAACTTCCAACCTCAGGTGATCCGCCCGCCTCGGCCTCCCAAAGTGCTGAGATTACAGGTGTGAGCCACTGCGCCCGGCCCAAGGACAGTTTTTTTATTGTTGCAGGCCTAGTGCCTCATTTCATGCCTCTCTTGGGCCTGGCACCAGCAGGTGCTCAATTGATGTTTGAATGGAGGGCTAGAAGGAGAAAGAGATGGGCAGAAGGAGAAACAGTGTCCAAGGTCTCTGTGTCCTGGTTGCATTTGCCTCCTTTACTAAAGAAAGCGTTCCAGCAGAGCCTGCCAGGAAAAGCACCCAGGCAGGGAAGAGCTGCCAGAGTATGCAGAAAGGGCACATCCTTGGCAGTGCCTGCATGGCTGAAAGTAAAAGGATGAAAATAGAAACCATCACGTTGTTGCAGACCCAGCACTAAAGTGAAGCATTTGAAACCTCAGCTCACATTCAGATGAAGAAATGAAGGAAAGAGGGGAGGGAGTAGGAAAAAGGAAAACAAAACAAAATATCATAGAATTTGAAGGTTTAAAAAAAAAAAATGAAGTGGGTTTCACATCTTTTAAGTTTGCCTAATGTTGGCTTGTAACTGCTGGAGTGATCTGTGGAGAAGGAGCATTTTTATACTATAGGAAATCCTTTTGTTTTAGTGTTATTTTTTTAGAACTCTGAAGTTGTAGTGTGATTCTTCTAATTCAGAGGACCCCATATTCTGTGAATGAGAATACTTAGCGTACTGGTGCCATCCAAATGCAAGCCCATTTCAGTTCAAGGTGGGAGGGAGAAGTACAGGAAGTGACTGCCCGTTTTTCACCTCCCTGCTTATAAAATGGTGTTGGTGAGAGCCCCAGCAAATGGGAACGGGTCTGGAGGTGTCCAGGCAAGGAAGTGTTATCCTGTCAGGGGAATGACACAAATCTGACACTTTAACACATGCATGATTATAAAAAACCTAGAGAGACGTATTTGTCTGCTGATATATAGATTACTCTATTCAAATGGACATAAGGCAGTTTTAAGGAAGCAGTAGACATTGCAGGGGAAGTGAAGAGAGAGAGGAAGGCATTCCCACTTTCTTTCCTTTTCCTTTTCCTTTCTTTCTTTCCTTTTTTTTTTTTTTTTTTTTGAGACGGAGTTTCGCTCTTGTTGCCCGGGGCAGTGGCACAATCTCAGCTCACTGCAACCTCTGCCTTTCCGGTTCAAGTGATTCTCCTGCCTCAGCCTTCCAAGTAACTGGGATTACAGACGCCCGCCACCACACCCAACTAATTTTTGTACTTTTAGTAGAGGCAAGGTTTCACTGTGTTAGCCAGTCTGGTCTTGAACTCCTGACCTCAAGGGGATCCACCCACCTCGGCCTCCCAAAGTGCTGGGATTACAGGAGTGAGCCACTGTGCGTGGCTGGCATTCTCAGTTTCTAAAAACACATTTTATTGTGGCAGAGCTTTCTTCTGTAAGATATCAATTAAAATAAGAAAATACGTTTTCTTATTTTTTTTAATAACAAAAAAAATTTTAATAAAAAAATAAAGACATATTCTTTTGGTCTCACCAACCTTATACTCCGTTGTTGGTCACTTAAAATTTCAACAGAAAAAAAGATAGTATTTTTTTGTTCAGTGACTAAGACACAGGGAACAGGTGCCCGGGAAGAATGTACTGGGAAACTACTCTGTCCTGAGGTAGAGAAAACACAAGAGATTGCTCTTTGCAAGCACAACCCAGCACATGCATTGCTGTCCGAGGGATGGCCCAGCCAGTACCCAACTCTCAGTACCTTCCGTTCTCACCCTCAGGCACATTTGCCCCCTGCTT